TTTTAAAAAAAAAAAATGTTTTTTTTCTTTTTAAACTACTGTACGCAGAGGCGAAGCGAGGGGAGGGGGCGGGGGGGGGGGGGCTGGAGCGCACCGGTAGACACCATTTAGGGGGGTGACACCAAGGCATAAAATAGCAAAATATATAGAGAAAAACTTGAGGGGGGGGGTGCAAATCGAAAATTTGAAAGTTTGTCCCCGGGAAGGGTTGCTACGCCTCTGTGGGATGACACCATTAAGTGCCGCACCGGGTGACACCCGTCCTCGCTACGCCACTGACTGTACGTCTATAAAACATGATAAGTATCTCATTTGTTTTAGAACCGTATCGTTAAACCTGAGAATTTCTATTTAAAAAATTACTTCTTAAACAAAACTAGCGACTGAATATCTTGAACACATTTTTTAACTAAGTCTCTATCAGATGATAAAGAGGCACAGCACACTGCATGATTTACCTTAATCTACTTAACACAAACACCAAACATCAACCCCCAAACTTTTCAGACCGGAGACCCGCAGGATAATTCAAGTCTCTTCACGTACCCCACCCACCAGTAATCCTTAAAATATTACTAAACAATAATTCAGTTTTAAGAAAAATTAACATATTTCGACATTACAACAAATAATCCCCTTTGACTTTAGCGTTATTTATATTTAAGGGATTAATAACTTAAGCACTCATTTAAAACGCATATAAACACATCAGGACTATAAAATAAAATAAAAAATCGCTATGAATTTAAGATTGAGTAATAGATAATAGATTAGGAAATTAAGCACTAATTTAAAATGAGAATAAACAATCAGAACAATACATTCCTTAAGAATTTAGGCTTGATTAGTAGTTCATTAATTAATTAATTAAACACTAATTTGAAATAAAACCTTGTAATTTGACGCCACTCTAAACTAGATCCTGCGGGCCCCCATGTCTTTAGGGTTAGTACTGGTGACCTTTGATGCTGACCAAACCACGGACATGGCCAATAAACAAAGACCTGAACTTTCTATTGAGGACCAAGTAGGTCAGCACCATCATGGACGTGTTGAACTGGAGGAATATCTGCAGCATGAAAACATTAACTCGGATGGAACCGCAGGTAAAATACTCTCTCAGATTCCCAAAATTCAGCCCAAAAGCTATGATCGGTAACAGGATACACAGCATCATACAAACACACCAAATAAGGATCAATTTCTTGCGGCTTTTTTCCGAGATCCCGTCCATAGGTTCATACCCAGGTGTTCCTAGTCCAATGTTGTGTAGCTTCATGAGGATGATGAAACTGCTGGTGGTGATGAATACCACAGAGACGCTTGAAGCGCCAATGAGCCAGAAGACGTTGTAGTAGACCTGAGTAAATAGTTCTTCGTCTTGGCAGACATCGTCAAGTGTTATCAACGAGGCTTCGCTTCTCAGCGGGTAGGTATCGCCCAGAGAGATGTACTGGAGTGGAAGCGTGAAGGCGATGACGAGAAAGAACATGAGGACGCCGACCCAGTACATCTGCCCCGAGGTAACGCGCTGGTTGATTTTCTCACCACGTGTGATGACCCAGAACTTGATCATGGAAATCATACCGCAGATGAAGATTACCAGAGCGTTTGTGTATTGGCACCAAGGAAAAACGTAATAGACTGCTTCCACGAAGACATTTCTTTTGATGCTGTCCGCGAGGTAGAATATTTGAACGATTCCTTGGATTAAGGAGACGAGCATATCGGATTTAGCTAATCCTTTTATCGCCACGATGTAGGAGCCTTTGAGGTCGTGTTTTTCGATGGACGATAGGGTCAGGCCGTTGCCGATGATGCTGCAGAAGCTACAGAAGGTCGCGAGGAAGAAGGTCATTATCATCTCCACCCCGGCTATGAACCGGATGGTTGGGTTGTGGAGTGGCCCCTGGTCACACGGGTAGACATCGCTAGCGTTGGTGACGTTTGTCGTGATGTTTAGTTGGAGATCGGACATGTTGCTCATTGTAGAGACGCTGGGAGCAACGCAGTTCTTGCTGCAAGAAAATAGGCACAAAAATCAATCACTGAAGGATAATTTTAAATGCATATTTCTTTTTAAATACATTTGTAAGAACTAATTGTTCTTAGGAAAGGATACCCATTTAACTTTATAACGTGTAATTAACTTCGCACTAATGATTAAAATATTTAAAAAATATCAACACTAAAGTTTAAAAAAAAAAAGTTTCATTTTATTTTTAAAAATGTACTGTTTTAGATAAATATTAAAAAAAACAATTTAAAATTGAAATTAAAATTGTTTATTATTAGTATTCTTATTATTATATCGTTTAATTAGTTCAGATCTAAAAGCTGAATAAACATAAATTTTGGAAAAACATATAGAGCCTATGATAAATTAAAAATCTCTCAAAATTTTAACCGAAGTATTTTTTTTAAAATTTCAAACTATTAAAAATATTTGAAAATGTTAAAAACCTATATTTAAACTACCCACAATGTGTAAGAAAACACAGTTTAAATGAAAACAAACACGTACCTGAACACAAGCAGAAATAACAAATTTTATATAAAAAAAAACGACGAAGTCTGACTGCTGACCAAAGACAAGAACTGAACAATACGAGTTGTCTGCCCAAAGTCCCCCAGCAGAATGTGGCTCAGGTCTGGTGTGTAAAGGTAACGGTCGGAGATAATTACTGGCAAGTGTCGGCGTGGGGCGGGGCCTGCAGGGAAATAGGGGGTGGGAGGTGGGGGAGTATGGGTAATTGTGAGGGTTACTAGAGGAACGTTCAGCGAGGAGGGGGGGGGGGTAGGGTGTAGGTGAGGAAGCCAGTGTAAAATGGTTGGGTAAAAAAAATGTCCACGATTTTAGTCATGCGCAGACATGCATAACTTCCCCTGTATTGTGAGGGACCGCAGTGGAGCATTCAGAGTGGGAGTGGGGGGGGGGGGGGTGAGAGAGACAATGAATGTTATATGAAAAAATAGATTTCGATTTTGAAGAATATATTGGTTAGCCTAAACAGTTTTTTTAAATTTCTTTTTATTGTAGGCCCTTATAATTTTTTTTTTGCCAAACTCACGTGGTTAGATAATGCGCTATACAGCTAGTTAATTTGAGCTGTTGTCGTATATTTCGTTGGTTTTATAAAACAATATCTAGAAAACCCCGAAAGCCCGAAGAGAGGTGGGAATTGGTATTCGTTGTCTATGTGCGTTGTCTATGTGGTATGTGAATGTGCTAAAAAAAACTAAGCTATGTATAAAATGTATATTCTAATGAAAAACACATTGAAAAGAGATCTTATATTCGAATGAAAAAGTCACTAAAATCGTCTTGAAAAAACAAGTTCCTTGGGTGACGATAAAAATATAATGTAGCTAACAAATTAACGTCCCTAATTTTATATCACACAACCAGGACCGTTAATTTATTATGTACAACATATTTTTGTCAGAAATGTCATGAGCGTTTCGTTGTTTCTGAGTTTATCGTGTGAGGTTATGTGAACCAATTTAACGAAATACCCTGCAAAAAACATGTTTGAATGCCATTTAAAATTAAACATTGAATTACGATGGCCAAGCGAGTGTGCGACTTCAGGTGTAGAATAGTTTTAGTCATTGTTAGATGTACACAGCCAAAGTACAAGGGTAATCTGCGAACTCAAGGGTAATCGTGAACCGAACTCAAGACAGTCGGGTTTGTAAGTGTATGCCCTACCACTCGACCGCGTAGCCCCGAGTTAAAAATTAAAAAAAAATGTAAAATATGTCTTACCTCAACGTGGAAGCCTTACAGTCAGAAATCCAATGAATTAATAACAACTTAAACGATGCTCAATCACAAACTTAATTAATTAGGCTAATCAATTAATTAATTAGCACACTTTCTACTAACACGCACAATAAAACACTAAAAGTCAAAAGAATCCTCTTTAAACCTAGCGCTCCGTTGTGCAGATGAAGTAGAGTTCATATTTTCGTTGACAGTAACAACTACCTGTTACAAAAATATCGGAATACAACGAATCACAGACTGTGCGATTAACACTTTATATTCAAGAAATATGCTGCGAGCCAACTAGATTTTACTGAACCGCAAAAGTAGACTAGGTCGCTGAGACACTGGGAAAAATCCCGGTGGGCTCCCAAGATCAGCGCTGTGAGGGACGTATTAATACTTTGTTATTTTCTAAAAATATGTTTAATGGAACATTCAGATTTGTCGCTTATTTTTTTATTGCATGCTCCAGTTGCAAAACGAACCGTGTCCTTGTAGGCCTTGGTCAGCGGTATTGGATAAACAAAAAATTCAAACACAAATTTAAATTGCGGGCTGCTTTTTTTTTTCTTGGGCCCCTTTGATACAGTCAGTCCACCGCTGCCGAGCCGCTAGATGTTACTGGGCCGCTTAAAGTTACTGGGCCGCTTAATGTTACTGGGCCGCTGGATGTTACTGGGCCGCTTGATGTTACTGGGCCGCTAGATGTTACTGGGCCGCTTGATGTTACTGGGCCGCTTGATGTTACTGGGCCGCTTAATGTTACTGGGCCGCTTAATGTTACTGGGCCACTAGATGTTACTGGCCCGTTACATGTTACTGGGTCGCTAGATGTTACTGGACCGCTTGATGTTACTGGGCCGCAAGATGTTACTGAGCCGCTGTATGTTAATGGGCCGCTAGATTTTACTGGGCCGCTCGATGTTACTGGGCAATGAGATGTTACTTGGCCGCTAGATATTACTGGCCGCTTGATGTTACTGGCCGCTAGATGTTACTGGGCCACAGCAAGATATTACTGGGCCGCTTGATGTTACTGGGCCACTAAAAGTAACTGTGCCGCAATATGTTACTGGGCCGCTTAATTTTACTGGGCCGTTACATGCTACTGGGCCGCTTGATGTTACTGGGCCGCTTAATGTTACTGGGCCACTAGATGTTACTGGCCCGTTACATGTTACTGGGTCGCTAGATGTTACTGGACCGCTTGATGTTACTGGGCCGCAAGATGTTACTGAGCCGCTGTATGTTAATGGGCCGCTAGATGTTACTGGGCCGCTCGATGTTACTGGGCAATGAGATGTTACTTGGCCGCTAGATATTACTGGCCGCTTGATGTTACTGGCCGCTAGATGTTACTGGGCCACAACAAGATATTACTGGGCCGCTTGATGTTACTGGGCCGCTAAAAGTAACTGGGCCGCAATATGCTACTGGGCCGCTTAATGTTACTGGGCCGTTACAAGCAACTGGGCCGCTTAATGTTACTGGGCCGCTAGATGTTACTGGGCAATGAGATGTTACTTGGCCGCTAGATATTACTGGCCGCTTGATGTTACTGGCCGCTAGATGTTACTGGGCCACAGCAAGATATTACTGGGCCGCTTGATGTTACTGGGCCACTAAAAGTAACTGTGCCGCAATATGTTACTGGGCCGCTTAATTTTACTGGGCCGTTACATGCTACTGGGCCGCTTGATGTTACTGGGCCGTCAGATGTTACTGGACCGCTTGATGTTACTGGGCCGCAAGATGTTACTGAGCCACTTTATGTTAATGGGCCGCTAGATGTTACTGGACCGCTTGATGTTACTGGGCCGCAAGATGTTACTGAGCCACTGTATGTTAATGGGCCGCTAGATGTTACTGGGCCGTCAGATGTTACTGGGCCGCTTGATGTTACTGGGCCGCAAGATGTTACTGGGCCGCTAGATGTTACTGGGCCGCTAGATGTTACTGGGCCGTCAGATGTTACTGGGCCGCTTGATGTTACTGGGCCGCAAGATGTTACTGGGCCGCTAGATGTTATATACATTTATCTTACCATCTTAGATGTTACTGGGCCGCAAGATGTTACTGGGCCGCTAGATGTTATATACATTTATCTTACCATCTTAGATGTTACTGGGCCGCAAGATGTTACTGGGCCGCTAGATGTTATATACATTTATCTTACCATCTTAGATGTTACTGGGCCGCTAGATGTTACTGGGCCGCAAGATGTTACTGGGCAGCTAGATGTTACTGGGCCGCTAGATGTTATATACATTTATCTTACCATCTTAGATGTTACTGGGCCGCTAGATGTTACTGGGCCGCAAGATGTTACTGGGCAGCTAGATGTTACTGGGCCGCTAGATGTTATATACATTTATCTTACCATCTATGCCATTGATGAAAAGGTGAGACGCTGTGGTCTATCGCTGTACGGCGTATAGCTCTGATATAGGAAAAACATTAGCGATGTTATAAGCACACATTTTAAAAATATAGATATATCAATTAGGATGTTACAAGTATATCATTATAATTGTTATACTTTCATTATTTCTAATCTTAATGATATATTATTTAAGATGTAATAGATGCATAATTCGGAACATTACAACAAATTAATTGCTCACTCCATTAATTACAATTGATTGTAATGCAAATTTAATCTGACCTGTGATGATGGTGTAGTAGATGGTATAGTAGACACTGCAGAACACGAAGGTGCATGAGACTAGCTGTCGCTACAAGATCATACATCGGTTGCAGAGCCGGCGCCAGCAATATTTAGCACCCTAGGCAAAACTTATTAAAACGCCCTCTTTCACACACATTAATTGCTAAAAACATATGTATAAGAAACCATTTAATTAAAGTGACATATTAATTTATTATCAATTGCACACACGTTATAAGTAGACATCAAAATCAAATTTTACTTGCCTCCTTCGTCGCAAAATTTGTACCAATTCCTTCAATTCCTGTTTGTGCTAACCCCCCCCCCCCCCTCCCCGCCCGCAATGCCCGGGAAAAAAAGTCGGGAAAAAAAGCACTGAAAAAAACACAGTTCTTGTAGTGTTGGACTCTCTGCAGACCTCCCAATGTGAGTTCCAGAACGGAACTTACCTGTTTGACTGTCTTTAGATATACTTGTAAAATGTCTATATTGTGTGAATATGTAACGTTTTTGTTTCTGAAAAATAAAAGGTTACAAATGTTATAGATTCCAGCCTAAAAGTGTTATATATGAATCTTTTAGGAGAGGGTGAAAAATACGAAAAAGACATTTTATTAATTCGATGATCAATTTGCGACCAAGACGATTTTTGACGCGTTTGTTGCTCATACTGTATGTCTACTAACATTAGGCATTGCAATCTGATGTATTTATTTTTCAACTTGATGATGCCAAAAAAAAAAAAACTACCAAACTATTTTGTTTAGAACTTCTGTTCTATATAATTTTTACAATAGCTAATAATAACGTGTAATATGTTGTATTTATAAGTGAGCGGTTAACCTAAAGCGCAGGAATTTGAAATGAATGTAAAGTTAAGCAACGAATTATCTCCCATTTAGAAATACAAAAACCATAACATTTATTCAAGGGAAATAACTTTAATAAGAATAGCTAAACTACTAAGTGTAATAAAGACGTGCTTGAAAAACACAATACATCGCTCTAAATTTCATTACGTAATAACTGTAACAAATCTTTTATACTAGCTATGTAACCGTGTCTAAAAGATATATTTTACTCATTGACTACTTAACTGTAGTTTTTGATTGAAGATCTAAATACGGTAGCTTTATCATAACACACTTCTAGTCAATTTTGATGACATTCATTAAATAAATATGCTTTCAATATACTAAAATGGAAATAATTTTGGATCCCCTAAATAGAGGGACACCTTTCAAAAATATCAAATACGGGTAACTGTTCAAAACATTGCTTAAAACATGACCCGTCATGCTCTGAAGCGATTACTACATCAACATTAAAATTAGATAACCATTTGAAATGTTCGAAATTTAAATTACGAACTTATTTAATCGTTTTCTACATCAATTATGTGACACCAAAATAAAAAGGGAAAGTGACTAGTAAAAAGCGCCCCGACCTTTCCAAATTAGGGAGGTGGGGTTGCATTTTCACCATCGCGAATAAATATAGGCCTATATATATTTGGGGTGGGGGTGCAAAATTGATAGTTCGTGCTGGGCGTCGAAATAGATCGCTACTCCTTTGTGTATTACCATCTATAGTTTCTAAAAGATAATCAGAGTTATTAATTATTATTTACTTTTCGATAATAGCAACTAAACCTTTTTGCGCCCCTTAGGGAGGGTCGCCTAGTTCGCCTTATAGGTAACGCCGATCCTGAATCTGTTAACCACAACGATACGAAACTACAATTGTCTAAGTTGCATTTTGAAACAATGAACTTAATACCCATCAATAATAATAATAAGCACTGTTTACATTGTTCTTTGGAAGTTTATTATTGAGATCTTTGCATTTATTTTACAATTTTTAAACACCACAATGTCTTTGAATTTTGAAAATGTTGTTCACGAATGTCATTAAAAAGATAATTGGTCAAATTCTAACGTATATTTTTTCCTAGCTGGTATTATGGAGTTTTAGGAAGAATGTTTGGCCAAATTGTGACTAATAATTACGACACTTACATTAATACATTTAATGTATGTAATTATAAAGTAAATTTTGGTCGTTTAGTGCTTTATTCATACGTTTAATGCTTAATTCCAAACTTATTCTTATAACTAAACATTAAATCAAATTTAAAAATTATATTATAACTATAACATTAAACTTCTTCATAAATCAAAATACAAGTTCGACCCTACAATGAAGTTTAAAATTAAACTTTGATTTATCTTGAATCTAAAATTGAATCCTGATTTATAGCAATTTCAACACACTTAAAACTAATGTTAGTTTAATATAAATCTAAAACCAAAAATTAATTACTATCTCTACCTTGATAGCTACGTCTATGACTACCTCTACCAATCACCAAACCTGGGTACCCATACCCATACCCATACTCGTACCCCTACCCATACCCATACCCATACCCATACCCATACCCACACCCATACCCATTCCCATACCCTTACCCATACCCATACCCATACCCATACCCATACCATACCCATACCCATACCCATACCCATACCCATACCCATACCATATCCATACTCGTACCCCTACCCATACCCATACCCATACCCATACCCATACCCATACGCATACCCATACCCATACCCATACCCATACCCACACCCATACCCATTCCCATACCCTTACCCTTACCCATACCCATACCCATACCCATACCCATACCCATACCCATACCCATACCCACACCCATACCCATTCCCATACCCTTACCCATACCCATACCCATACCCATACCCATGCCCATACCCATACCCATACCCATACCCATACCCATACCCATACCAATACCCTTACCCATACCCATACCCATACCCATACCCATACCCATACCCATACCCATACCCATACCCATACCCATACCCATACCCATACCCATACCCATACCCATACCCATACCCATACCCATGACCATGACCATGACCATGACCATGACCATGACCATGACCATGACCATGACCATGACCATGACCATGACCATGACCATGACCATGACCATGACCATGACCATGACCATGACCATGACCATGACCATGACCATGACCATGACCATGACCATGACCATGACCATGACCATGACCATGACCATGACCATGACCATGACCATGACCATGACCATGACCATGACCATGACCCTCACCCTGACCCTGACCCTGAACCTGAACCTGACCCTGGCCATTCCTATAATCGTTTGTAATCAATTATCTGAAATATAAATCCGTAAAAAGCAACTATTTATAACAGCGATTTCGTATTTAAAATAAAACTGTCCGTACTTATTAGACCTCTAAGTAACTTACGTAAGCGTGTAAAGAAATAAAATATGGACATAACAAATTATTTTAAAAATCTATTAACATTAGTAAACAGTAAAGAATCAAGTTAAATGTTTGCACATCAAGAATTACATGTACTAAATCTAAGGAAATGTTTAACCATTAAGGAAATAATACTGTTTCAAGCGATGGTTAGCGTTACATTAAAATAAAATGCACATTACACATTTCTGCGGAGCAGAATTAAAAGTTTTATCTTTCCTTAGTTGCTCTTGAAAACACGAAGATACTTCTGTAAATAACCTTTGAACTTTCTGCTCAACCACACGTAGACGGCCAACAGAACAACCACGTTCACCTCGCAGAACAGCTGCATCAGTAACATGCTAAGACGGTGTAGCTTGCGTGAGAAATCTCGTTTTAGATAGACGTACATAACCCCAAACACTAATGTTGGCGAGATGACCAAAATGGTCAGGCTTGCACAGAGGACTGGGATAATCCCCGAAATGTCCTGGTACTCCTTCGTTTCCTGGAATCGGGTCACAGATTTCTTGGTCATTGTTTCAAGTTTGAGGATGGTTAACAGACTACAGCAGGCGATCACGAACACGGATATAGTGCAAGTTGTTATGAGTAGACAGATGTTGTGGTAGAGTGGGTGGAATATATCTTTGCTCTGGCAATTTTTATTCAAATTCAGTGGCAAGTTTTCTTTCCTGATTGGGAAAATCTCAAAATATGAAAGGACTTGAAGCGGGAGTATGAAAAAAATCGTAGAACTGAAGATAAGAATAATCATCCAAAACATCATGTTCTTGCTGACGTTCTTATTGATGAGTGTTTGGTAACACAAGATAACAAATTTTAACAAGACCACGGACACAACAATGAAGATGCTTATAGTGTTCACATATTGGTTCCAGGGAAAAAGAAAATAAGTGCAATCGATAACAAAACTACCTTGAAAAATATTGTAAAAGTTGCAAAACTGTAAAATACATTGAATGGATGACAAAAACAAATCGAACAACGCCAATCCTCTGAAAGCAACGGCAGATGAGCTTTGAAATCCCTTATTCGCCATTAAAGATAGATTAACCCCGTTGCCGAAAACTCCATATATGCATAGAACTGTAATGCTGAAGCAGTTTAGAATGAGGTCTACTATAAAAAGTAAATCCACTTGTACGCCGTATAGTTGATCATCAGGATTAGCGGTGTAGTTAGAAAGACTGCCCTTCAGGAGATAGGATAGAGCACTCATTGCTGGGAAGTTGTCTTCGCTGATCCTGAATCTGTAGATAATAAACAGTATTCTAGAGATATCTGAAGATTGTAAAAATAATTATTGTATGATATCTAAGACTTGAAAAATGTTTGGGTTTAAATTATGACTGTATTTTATTAATGCATATGATTACTAAATTTTCAACATAAATGTGCTGTAAAAAAAATTTAA